AAAGTTCACATTCCTGTAATCTCTGCTTTTACCATGTTTACATATAGATTCATAAAAATATTTTGAATGGCAAGTTATACTTCTTACATACAGAGTAGCCAAAAGACAGATGGAAAATTTCAAGAACAATGTAAATTACACCATTTCTCATTGGGTGAAAAAAGGGAAAATAAGATTCTGTTTTTAAGTGACAAACTTTAATAACATTTGTTAAAAATAACAATGTCCAAACTCATATACAGTGTCATCACCTCCTTTTCCTCTGACCTCAAAACATTTATGCTTTTTAAGGAGGATGTCGCTATTGATGAGTGAATGTCAGACCGGAAAGTTAGTATTTGATTCTGTGATGCCAGAGGGGAGAAAAATAATAGAGTGCATGTGAGTGCCTCACTGAGTTGACTATAGCATAAACAATTATGTTTGGGGAGTCACATGGAGCGATTTTTTTCTTCAACAATAGGTTAGACTGATCGTGCAATTTTTGGAATTGTCAGTAAAAGCAGTTCAAATATCTGGTTGACTGTGGCATTGAAGTCTTGTCTTTTCTTTTTGATGAGGAAGATTGGCCCTGAGCTAACACCTGTTGCTAATCTTCCTTTTTTTTGCTTGAGCAAGACTTGCTGAGCTAACATCTATGCCAATCTTCCTCTATTTTGTATGTGGGATGCCATCTCAGCACGGCTTGCTGAGTGGTGCATAAGTCCGTGCTCAGGATCCGAACCTGTGAACCCTGGGCCGCCGAGTGGAGTGTGTGAACTTAACCACTACACCACTGGGATGGCCCCATGGAGTCTTTTCTTTTTTAAAGTCATGTAGAAATGATCATGAACTTGTAGTCAGGACATACTGTTGAAGCTTTATTTTGGTCACTGTCTAGCAAACTTTAGGCAGGATTTAACCTGAACCATTCTTAAAAGGAGTTGGTGGTCCCTGGCTGGGCGGCATTCTGCCTGCCCTCAGCTCCCACCCCTCCAGGAGCTGCTGTTTCCCTCCTCATCCATGTCATTGCTATTTTGGTGGAATAATGAAAAGATCAGGGGTGTATCTAATCTGTGAAATTAGAGCTACTGTTGCCATCTTGAGCTGGAATAAGATACAGCTGTCTTTTCTTCACTCTGTAGCAATCACAATAATGAAGGTTAATAATTTCTGCTGTTTTTGATGTCTTCAATCAAAGGATTATTTTGTAATTCTAGTATTCAGTACATTCTGATATGAATGCCAATATATTCCGACATTCCTTTAGATAGTTTAGGACACACTCAGAGCTGGTCTGTCTAGCTGTGGTTGGAACATGCCCAGACCATTGAGGGTCTCATCACTGTTATTAGAATTTCTTTATCACAGGGCTACTAAAGGAGTTTCTGGGGGTGGGGAGGGGCATTTAGACTAAATTAAAAACATATCCTTGCATTGCTTTTAACAACGCTCTCGGTTATTCTGCACAGCAGAATGCTAGACCCTCCCAGCTCCTCCAGTTACTTATTTTACAAATAAAACTTGCTGTTTTCCTGGTCTAGCGCTTGGTCTCTTTCTTCGTAAATGTATGATTAATAGTGATTTAATGAACACCTCCACTTATCAGTATCTTTAGGAAAAACAACAATGACAAAGCCTCCGAGGTTTTAGTGCCCAGCTGTCAAATCTTTCATGTAACTGTCGTATATTAATTAATGCGGGAACAGCTAGGGCACTGAATACCATGGCGGGAGGAAGGTCTGTGTATCACTCTGCAGTGAATCTCAGCACTTCGTATAAAATGACGTAACCACTCATGGGTTGTTTGCAGAACCGTCTGGTATGAAAGGCATTGGGAGATTGCCTCAAATGTACGAAACAAAGAATTTAGGAGAGAAATGGAGGAGCTTTTTGACATGAAGCACTAGACCTCTTTTCTTCTCATGTGTTTTTTGGTAGTGGATATCCTACGCTGTAACTTTTTCATTTTTGTGTGAAATACATCTCAGAAATCTATTTTAATCCTCAATTTTCAGCGTGATATATACATAGCATTCATGAAAAATCTGAAGATTACTCATTGGTCCCATTCTAATAATAAATATAAAAGAAGAAATCTTATTGAAAAATAGGCACTTAGAAACCCAGAGACCTTACACACAAAACGAAAGCCAAATATTTGTGGTAGTTAGTCACCATTATAAATAGACTTCACAGCAGCAAATCAAACGTAACATTAAATAATTCTGAAATGAAAGTAAGCAGTCTGTAAAAATGTGACATTATGGAGCGGAAGGTTAGTTCAATTTAGGTGGATGCTAGAAGTAGGTGTTCTTATAATTTAACATTTCTATTTAATGTGAAAATGGAAATTTTAGTTCATGATGAAAAGAACAGCAGGGTAGGATAATAGAGTTTTTGTCTTTTCCCAAAGTAGCCAGACTGCAATGACACATCTTCTAGTCCCTAAGCTCCAAATCGAGGGGAACAGTATCTGTTTAATCTCTCATAAAATAGGTAAAATTCTTCTTTCTAATATTCTAACCCAAAAACAACTAAAAACGTAAAACTGATTCATGGCCCAAGAATTATTTTCAAACTGTAGTTAAAAGGAAGCATTCAAAAGGATAACACCACCAATAACAACCAAAAATGTACACACGCAAATTCAAACAACACTTCCTCCCAAAACAAAGGCTGGTTTTCAAGCTACTTTTATTATAGGCCATTTACTTTAAGATATTTCCTGAAAGTTAGTTGCCTTTGACAGTGGAGTGTTTTTGTCCGGGTACTTTTTTCTCATGGCTGGCTGGAGAATTTTATTAAATTATAGTTCAGTAGCTGGACAGAGTTGCATGTCCAATTGTCTAACCCTACCTGTGATATCGCTCAAGATGTGTTAAGCAGTTTTTGATTGTCTTGAAGAGGAATATTGTGTTTGGAGGCTGTCAATTTCATAATGATTCTCATTAATCACTAATGAGTCTCGGCATCACTACGAGGCTGTGGTTTTGTGCTCAGGTAACAAGTCACACTTCAACAGCTAGACACATATTCATATCCAATTTTATTCAAATTTGACAACTTTTCAGTAAATAGCTGATTTGTGGTGCATGAAACAATGTTTCTGTTTAATAATTGATTTTAAGTATTTCTTAATTTTGCTTTGGGGTGAATAGTGTGGTCAATTGATATGGCAAAACATGAAAAAATTGATAAAGTACCCATCACAAACTACGCTGAGAGTTAAAGTCCTAGAAAAACTGATGGTTTTGTTTTTGATTCTAAAACTTTACTGAAGACAGCTACCATAAAATATATGTACATATCTCAACAGAAATATGTTGACCATATTTATAAACATGGGAGTATTGAAGAAAGTCTAAGAAACTGAACACAGAGTTGTATGACTTGTTACGAATTATAAGGTGGCCACACACTAAAATATGTATGTTACAAGGAAGAAATAGTGGATCCCAAGGGCAATTATTCTGAAGTAAAAGATGAACATGAAATGAATATCACAGTGAAAAGAACTGCTCTTCAGCATAATGGCAGGTACCTTAAAAAGTGAATTTAGGCATAAATACCTTTAAAAAGGGAATTCACCTTCCTTTCTGCTTCCTTCTTATTTGTCAGCCCCACCTCTGTCCCAAGTGTTCAAAAGGCCAATGTTCCAATGGTTCCCAAACCTTCAACTTAAATCTGTTGAGAGGCTTTTATCCTTTTCCTTAATAAGAAATGTAGTAAAATGGGATCACCGGGTTTCATATTTTAATTTTGTGTTTCAACCTTCTTTATGCATTATGAAAAAGAAGAGCACCATTTCATTGCAGTCTGTGCATTATTTCTGGCCCTTTTCAGTTTACCCCCAAATAGCATTGTGTAGATGTCATTGGTTCCTTCTATTGCCAACATATACAGCACCACCACATAGCAGGTCATTGCGTTTCACTGTTTCTGTGCTTACCTTCTTGTGCTAGACTGCGAGCTGTTTAAAGACAGAGAATATGTTTTATTGCTCTCTGAGACTTTTTCATCCAGCCTAATGCATGCCATATAGTATATGTTCAATAAATATTTATTCCATAAAAAAGAATGCTCTAGATGTTCCTGAAATTGAATATATCTACTACGTTTTAAATTCGGAGTATTCCCTTTTGAGTCTCATTTCAGACTTGTCTTTTATTTTCAAGGCAGGCAAACAAGCAATCCAAACTTGTTTCTCTGTGTTAAGCTAACATGGGCATTTAAAAAAATAATACGGCACTATGATTTTCACTAAACTAGGAAAGGTTATTTTGGAGCGGCTGGGACTTCAGATATTTGAAGTAGTAATTACTTCCTCCATAAATGTTACCTTTTAGAGTCAAATACTGCTTTCCTGCTGCAGTTCAACTTTTTACTTAAAGGAAAATGGCTTTTATTTACAATTCACCACGCTATAGTATTATATCCGGTAATTCTTTTTTATTTGCTTTGGTAGCATCATACAATCACTGAAGCATCATCATCATAATGACAGTAGCTTACATTTGTTCAATATTTATTTTGTGGCAAGCATTTCACTAAGCACTTTACATGTGCTATGTCATTTTAGACCCACATAAAATTTGTGGTGTGTGTGATTTTTATATATCTGTATCTCCATTTCTCTATCTATCGATTGGCTGGTCGATTGAAGCTTTGAGAGGCAATTTTCTAACCAGTAAGCTGTGTGGTCAGGACAATAACGCAGGGAGAGCTATCTTCAGATTTTGCATTCTTGGTTCTTTAAAGGTCTGTGTATCTAGTAACAAAATTGAATACCGTATTTTGCATAATTCTGGATCCACGACCTGTTTTAGTGAAGTACTTGTGTTATCATTTATAAAACAAACAGCGTATGTTGGGTTGTACTTAATTAAATACTATGAAGTCACTGCAACTAAAATTCTCAGCGTATTTCTTCTGTATTGAATGGATGTGATATCAACACTTACCTGATGATCATCCACATTTTGTCTTGAGACTGACTGTTATTATCATTTGTGACTTACCATAGACTTGGGTTTGGTTCCAGAATTGGCCACTGCTGTGGAAGATGGCAGGTCAGTGGACTCAGTGTTAGAAGACAGATTTATCTGAGTCTGATTTACTGAAATGGTATCTGCTCCGCTCTCAGATCCTGACTCCAGATCCTATTAAAAGAAAAGGAATTGACGTGAAAGGTGTGTACATGCTCTCTACATGCCTTTTCTCCCTGCCACCAACACTTTCCACCTCCTCCTTCTCCCAACACACATTGACCCACTAGAGAGTTAGGGGCAACTGACATTGACATGTCACCCATCGTCCTGCATTATTTTGTAATAACAATTATACTCTTCAGAGGGTTTGGTTTTAGAAGGCAAATACTGGAGAATGAAGTAATATACTACCTTGGTAATTTAACAGCTGATTGGGAATTGGAAGTGGCAGTAGTGGGAGCCAGCTAGGGCACTGCAGTGAGTCAGGAGGTGGAAGCCCATAAACATCCCTTGCTTACTGTGTGACCTTAAGTAAATCACTTAATACCCCTCATGTGGCAGGGTCATTGTGGGTGTCAAGCGGAAAGACAGTTGTCTCTTTTCCTCACCTCACTCAGAAATGCCCCCATCAGACTTCCATAGTGACATCTGCCACAATGGCTTGGAATCATTTAGCTCAAGTGTCTGTCTGTCTAATGAACTATAAGTTATCTGAGGGCAGGAACTATGCTTTGCCATGTGTAATTCAATTCCTTCATTTGAAAATGGGTATAACAATAGCATGCGCTCACAGAGTTTCCTGAGCATTAAGTAGCATATATGCAAAGTGCATATAATCGGCACTTGATAATTTTCATTAAATGTTAGCCATTACTACAAATATAGTTATTATTAATATCATTATGGGTTTTTTTTAAAAGATTTTATTTTTTCCTTTTTCTCCCCAAAGCCCCCCAGTACATAGTTGCATATTCTTCGTTGTGGGTTCTTCTAGTTGTGGCATGTGGGACACTGCCTCAGCTTGGTTTGATGAGCAGTGCCATGTCTGCACCCAGGATTTGAACCAACGAAACACTGGGCCGCCTGCAGCAGAGCGCGCGAACTTGACCACTCGGCCACGGGGCCAGCCCCATCATTATGGTTTTTTAATATCTAGTACACAGAACGTGGCTATGACTTGTCTACTAAGTGAATGCAATTACTCAGTAATCTCTTCAAAGACTGTGCATTCAATTTATCAAACGCTCCCTTCGTGTTGTATGGTGACCTGAGAGCACAGGGGAAAGTTAGGTATGAGGAGAACGCAGAGGGGAGGGAGTAAAGGTGAATATCACTCTACAGTTTTAACCTGAGAAAATTATGAGTTAAGTATCTTTATGTCTACTCTTTCTACATCTCAACTTTACCATCGCCCACATGGTGCATCTACCCTGAACCCTAACTCTCTGGCCCGATGCTATACCATTCTCATGTTTCTTAGTATGTTCCAGCCAAACTTGCTGTTTGTCAGTCTTTCCAGTCCACTAAGCTGGTTTCTACAGTGGGGACTATGTCTTTTCTTGTCCTTTGCCGCAGTATTTGCCTTTGCTGGCCCTTTCTTGTCACTCAGGTCTTAGTTTCAATGTCACTACCTCATAGAATCATCCTTTAACATTTCAAGCTAAAGTAGTTTCTTCCTTTCAACCTCCACAGCATCATTCTCTGTTTTATAATCCTATTACCTTGTTTATCTACCACATATGAATTATATCTAACCATCATCTTATCTATCTATCTATCCATCCGTTCACCCTTCATTCATCGCTTTCTCTAATCCTTGTCTGTCTCCCTCACCTGGAATCTATGTATCACAAGAGCAGAGATTCACCTGTCTTGTTCACTGATACATCTCCAGATCTTAGAATAGTGCTTGGCACCTAGAACATGATCATTAAATATTATTTTATGAAAGAATAACTAGACTTACAAATATTAATGTTTAACCAGCGAGGTAAAAGATCTGTACACTGAAAACTATAAGACATTGATGAAAAGAAACTGAAGAAGACACAAAAAAATGGAAAGATATCCCATGTTCTTGGATTGGAGGAACTAAAATTGTGAAAATGTCTATACTGCCCAAAGTGATCTGCAGATTCAGTGCCACCCCTGTCAAAATTCTAATGGCATTTTTCACAGAAACAGAAAAAACAATCCTAAAATTTGTGTGAGAACACAAAAGACCCTGAATAGACACAGCAATCTTGAGAAAGAAGAGCAAAGCTGGAGGCATCACAATTCCTGACTTCAGATTCCATTAAAAAGGTATAGTAATCAAACCGGTATGGTACTGGCATAAAAACAGACACATAGACCAATGGAATAGAATAGACAGTTCAGAGATAAACACATGCGTATATAGTTAGCTAATATTTGACAAGGAAGCCAAGAACACTCAATAATGAAAAAATAGTCTTTTCAATAACTGTTATTGAGAAAATTGGATATTCACATGCAAATGAATGAAATTGGACCCCATCTTACACCACTCACAAAAATTAACTTGAAATGAATTAAAGATTTAAATGTAAGATCTGAAACTGTAAAAACTCCTAGAAAAAACACAGTGAAAAAGTTTCTTGACATTGGTCTTGGCAACGATATTTTGGATATGACACCAAAGCACAAAGCATGATAAAAGAAAAAATAAGATGTACAAGTTCTGGGGATCTAATATTCAGTACGGTGACTATCGTTAACAATACTTGTTAATTATAAACCTGAAGTTGCTAAGTGAGTAGATATTAAATGTTCTCACCTCACACACACAAAACTGTAATTATATGAGGTGATGGATGTGTTAACTAACCTTATTGTGGTAACCATTTTGCTAATATACAAGTGGGTCAAATCATCACATTGTATACCCTAAACTTATACAGTGTTATGTGCCAATTATATCTCAATAAAGCTGCAAAAAAAGAAAAGAAAAAAGTGGGACACAAAGACAAAGAGATAGAAAGAAAGGGTACAAAAAATATACAGAGATAATGAATATGAAAAGTGTGTGTGTGCGTGTGTGTGTAAAACATATAACCCTAACTAAATTTCTCATGCCCTGAGTGATTTCATATCAAGGCCGTCTACTCCTCTTTTGCATGGAAAAGAGAAACAACACTTTACCGTAAGATAAATGTGATTCATTAAAATTTCAAATTGAATCAACATCAAATGCATAGTCATAAGTAGAAGGTAATTTATAAGCCATTTATATTTGACTTTTATGTATATCAGAAATCTTTTGTGTCAGTTTTGCCTTCCTGTTTATAATTTGATTAGGTAAACAACAGGGCAACTTTGTATCTTTCTAACAATACAGCAATTCTGAGGCAAAATAGTAAACAGTGTTAAAAGCTGCCATTTATTGAGTTTTTGCCTTTTAAAGACAATACTTTACAGCCATCTCTGCTTCCAGTGTTCACCAACTCTGTGAGGAAGGTACTGTTATCGTCACCTGATGGATGATGAAGCCAAGGCTAAGGTGAGTAACTTGACCAAATTCACATTCTGTGGCAGGGCTAGCATTAAAACTCAGATCTGTCTGATCCCAACTTGTAAGTTCTATCAAGGCAGCCTCCTTACATCTTTACCTCTACCTTTATTTTAATATTTTTTTTATCTTAAAGGCATTCTTAAAGACTTCAACCTATATTATTTTTTATACCCTTTATTATAGTAGAACTCACTCCACCATTTTCTCACAAATCGTCTCAAACTGAGGTCCCTGTTTCATTGTCTGTCTTGTCCTCCCTACTAAATCGTAAATTCACAGAGCAGTGTGAGGGTGTGGCAGAGGACGTTTCTCCTCTGAATCTGGGACAGTGCTCCTTGTGGACAATCAAGGTCATAATCATGCTGTTATAATCCCCTTATTCCATGGTGCAATTATCAAAAGGAATGGAAAGTGCCTGTGGAAAAATTTTTGATGATGAGAGAATGTTAAAATTAGCTTTAAATACCAAGGAACAGAAATAAAGAACAAGGAATGACCTAGAAAAACAGAAAGACCAAAAAGAAGTTTTGAGGGCTGCAGAATATGTCTTATTCATCTTGGGCCCAGTGCCTGGCATGAGTACATGGGAGAGGAAAAGGGAATTAACAAACTCTACATATGTACGCTGTGCCAGATCTGTGCAATATGTCTTACATACGCTCTTCCATTTACTGCTCCCAACAAGCCACGAGGTAGGAAATAATGTTTCTTTTTGTACATGAACCTCAAGTTGAGAAATTAGAGAATTTTCTTATGTTCTCAGGTATTTAGTTGTCGAGCTGGCATTTGAACCCAGGCCTGGAGACTCCAAAGTACATAATATTTCCACTCTATTATTTTGCCTATTCCGAGTATCTAGTGAAGTGAAAATTTAGATCTTTATTTACAGAATCAACCATTATTCAGCAATGGTGGGGATATTCCATGAGATAGGGTGTGTAATATAAAATCCAGTTTACACTTTAAGTGGAGGCACAAGATTAGATGTAGGCAGATGTGGAAATCATTACCTGCCTTAGCTCCTGTTTCTGTTCTGCCTTTACCATTCAACAAAGAACCACATCTAGCAGGTAAGGGCTGTCTTGCTTTCTGAGACAGAGACTACAATATGGAGCTGTATTTAGCAGAAATATGGGCTGTGGTTTTCCTCCTAAATACATGGAGATTGAGGAAAGTTCAATGCAGAAGAAAAAGGGGAGAGATTAACAATTCACGACAGACAATTTTAATGAGAAAACATATCCCATGTTTGCATTAATGGCAAAAAAACTATTACAAAGGATCTCCTATTAAAAAGTATGGCTTAAAAGTTGATGAAAATGCATATGAAGCTTCTCTGCACACTTCATATGGAAACAAGATGAAAACATCTCTTCTCGCTGGTCTTCAGGGTATGGCTTGGATTGCTTTTCTTCCATTTGGATACTTTTCCTACTAATGTATGTGCAAGACACTATGGGAGCACCAGGAAAGGAGTAATTGATTCTGGCTAGGAGGACAGAAGGATATTTAAGGAAGACTTCTCTGTAAAGAAACCATTTGGGATGAATTCCGAAGGCTAAGAAAAAATTATTCAGGTTACAAACAAAAACAAAAATGTCATTTCTACTGGTTTTCTAAGTCGAAGTATTTAATTTCATATTTATTCATTAAAAAAATTTACTCAACTTATTTAAACTAAAAAAAACCCCAAAACTAGTTGACCCATTTCTCCCATTTTTAATTACAAAATTTTTTTTTTGCCCAAGCTATCAAACTACAATGGGATTAGAGTCAGCTAGAGAAGGCGGTATGATGTAGTGGTTAAATGATATGGCTCTGCAGCAAGGCTGGTGGGTTTGTATCCCAGATCGGGCACACACAATTACTAACTTCTCTACGCGGTTTACTCATCTAAAAAACACTGTGAGGAATTAAAGTGATAACATATGTAAAGGACTTAGAATAGTACCTAGTATATACTGAAGTTAGCCATTATTTTAATTGTTTAAAATTATTTACTTTGAATTATTTACTTTGAAATATTCTGCCCCACAGTTAGAATGAGCCTTGAAAAACTTCAGAATAAATGATAGAACTGTGCTAATTAAAGAATTTTGAGACAGAATAGCTCTATTTTGGTGGGTGTTCAAATTTATACACAGGATTTTCCACCCCTTTGATCTTAGGTAACACAATTTCTTGACTTAATGTGTTGGTTTTTGCACAACAAATGTAATAGAGTAATTGAAAAGGGATTCGTAGATTAATCATAAGTAAACTCTACCATCACATTTGGTAGATCTGTACAAACTAAGTCATTTAATATGAAGCTAATATAGATACATAAAGTGTATAGCCAGTCCTGGAATCTGTGTCTTCCAAATTTTATTTTGAGTGTCAAAATCTCAGAGGAGTGTCTGTCTTATATGAAATTAGTGCACAGTAGAATACATTAGTTCACAGTAGAATAAAATTCTCACCTCTGTCCTATTCATCGTATTTCACTGAGAGAATTTTAGAGCGTTTTCAAGTTACTCTCATCTAAATTCTTTCCTGCAGTATGCTGTGTTAGTTCAACCAGCATCCATCCATCCATCCACCCATCCACCTACCCAACCATCCATCTATCCATCCATCCATCCACGCATCCATCCATCCACACAGCACATATTTCTTATCTTCTATACCCAATGTAAACTTGTGGGGCACTGGAAATAAAATACTAAACAAGATAGACATAGCCTTGCTGATGGCATTTATAGCATATCAGAAAAAACTGAAAATTAGGGAAATAGCTGAAATGAAGAGGATTTGATCACTAGGAACCGTAATTTCCCAAGCTGACTGTCTTTTCTAACTAATAATAACCATTTTCTTTTGAATCCCACACTTCTCTAATGGACTCTGCATGAAGCATAGAATTCTTTGTGTCTTCTTTACAGAACACTATCAGGGTCACATATGGGTGGATGCTGCCATGAAGGATGTTTCATTCGTAAGAGGGACTCTATGAAGTAGAGATATCATGCTCATGGGCAAAGAGGTGGAAAGTGGAAAGCTCACAGGCACGTGCCGCCGCAGGTTCGTTGGTGTGCTGGACGGAGAGGAGCTGGTGCTGAGAGCATTCTCAATGTCTTGGTCAAGTTGGTCCAGTTTCATAATTAGCAGCACCATGGAGTCTAGCCGCGCCCTATCTCGATCTTCTCTTATTTCCTGAGGAACAGAACATGTTGTTATTGAATCTGAAAGGCCATTCTTAGAAAGAATAAAAAGTTCCCTGTTCTTCAATGTGACAAAAAGGACACTGAATAATAGGCAGTCTTCTACTTAAGGGAGAACGGAAGTTCTATTCTGTGTCATCAATGGGCTCTTCATTGGAAAGATGCTGACCCACTGCCAAGAAAGCATTTTACATGAATATTAAATATATATCTTCTGGAGCAAAGTGCATGAAAAAGAAGTGTAACATCAATGAGTACTGGTACATAATTACTACTTTCCAATGAATTATTTTTGGGAAAAGTTATATGTTTACTCTTCTTTTGTCATGGTACAAATCAACTATAGCAAACTAATAATTATGGTTAGATATTTAAGGATGAATGCAAAAGAATATTTGAGGAAGAATATTTCTGAGTGTAGCAAAACAATGGGAAAAGAATCAAACAAGGCAGGTTTTCAGCTTGTGCAGGGGGCAGTTTTTTTTTTTTTTTTTTTAACATGGGGCCATTTACCTACTGCTGCTTCAACTTCTGTCATTGCCAATATTTTCAAGCTTCTTTTTCTTTCACACATTTTTGAAAACAGCCCCCACAACCATATGATTCATGGTTACTTATTCTGAATTCACTGTAATATAGACACATATTTATGGAAAGATTTTTGCTTATAGGAATAGATAAAGCTTCTCATTGACCAAATAGAGTTATTTGGGCATGACTATTTACTATTCTAGTGTGTTCAAATCTTCGAAATTCCCTGTGTTGTACAAGGTACGAAGGTTGGGTAAGGTGTTGGGTGAAAAAAAAAAGAAAACCTTGGAAACGCGGTAAGTTTCATCAGAAGCAAAATCTATTGAGGAATGTAATAGACTTGGGGCCAGCCTTTTTGAGGCAAATCATCATTTGCAACTCATGTTGGCATCTTCTCATCTAGTTGAGATATTTGCCTGGGAGAAATCAGGTTTGAAAGGACCACCCATGGTGACCTCGAAGGGAAAATATAGCATGACAGAAGCCTGAGGGGTGTGAGAACAAGGGAGCAAGTTGAGGGCTTTGCTTAGGTGATGGTAGTAGTAACAGCACGGATGAGTAACTGCCTGAATCAGGTCTTTAATTTTGTTTTTGGCTTTGTTCTTTTAATCCCTCTGAATGCTCTAGCCACCATTAGGAGGGACCTCCAAAGAATAGGGAGTGGGGTAATTTTGTGGATTCATCTAATTCTACATGGGTCTCCTTACCTCAAACAGTTAGAGTTATCTTTCATATGTCAAATAATTGGTTTATTAGATTCAGTTGGTCAGAGAGTCATCAAAAGACCTGAACCTTACCTCACACCCTTTTCCTCAATGCTACAGAAATTCGTTACCTTCAAAAGAGCGTTATTCATAGTTAAATCCTGCTTAGACCTTACATGAGAGTCCCAGAAATACTGGAGATTATTCAACTTAATTCTCTTCTAAATATTCCAGAAAATGGAAAAATCTGACTGAATAGAAGACTCAGGGTCCCCTTAATTACGCCTCCAATGTACCTGCTTATGTAATTTCCTTCTCCAAAGTTGTGTTTGGCAAGATAATGTTCTTTGCATCTCTATATCCACATATCTCTTTGTGTGATTGTCTTTAATTTCCCAGTTATACATCCTCAAGCACAAAGATTACATTTTTCTACCTGGCAGACATGGAGTCAAGTTGTACCCTGCGCACGAATGCCTTTTCAGGAGTAGTAATAATGAAATCAATAGGAGCCAGTGAAATAACACCTCCCAGAGCTTTAGAAAATATATCTTGATATTTTTCCAGCTACTGAGTTAATGTTGGATAAAGCATAATATCCTGCAGCTATCCTAGACCTATCACCAGTAGTCTCAGAAACAATTTGTCTTTGAATTAACTGGATGTTGAGATTGTGCTTTAAAAACATTTTCAAATCCATGGGCTGAGCATCAAGTTATTCCAAATGATCTGCCAAAAGGAATAAAATCACATAGCTTTGGTCTACAATATTCCTTTAGAGAAACAAGCTTATTGCTTTTCCTTTTCCTTCATGGATGCTTCCTTATTTACCATCTATTACGTTCAGCCTGAAGTGTCAAGTACTCAGACCAGTATCATATGTTATACATTCATAAACTTCACAAAATAGAGTTGACTATAAATCAGATGTTTTGGATAAATATTATTGTCCTTGTCTTTAAAACCCAGGTATTAATGTTTCACAAAGTTCTAACCTTTCATACGTCCATGGCTAAACTCCAGTGAATAGCTCATGCCGGAAAACAAAGCTGTGTATTTGCAGATTTTGGCTAGGTTGACTTCTACAGTGGAGCTTTCATTTCATGCTGTCATTGTCGTCCAGGAAGAGGAACCTCTTAAAAAGTGAAGCTGCCTATTAATGAAGCTCTCAGTATTTCAGTAACTTAAACCCCTTAAATTAAGCCAAGATGCTAAATTCTCTCCCTTCCCATCTTTCCTTCCTTCATTCCTGCAGTTCCGGCTGTTCTGGGCCAAGCACTAATAAAGGGAAAAAATATTAATTAGTGAATAAGAGATATAAAACCCCTGCTTTTCTGAATATTATAGTCAACCACAAGAAGACAGGCAGCAAAAGTTAACAAATTGATAAATAAGATAGTTTCAGATAGGAACAAGTGTGATAAGAAAATGAATAGGTTAATGAGATATATAGAAACCACAGGAACAGTGTCCCACTGTGCATAGGGTGGTCAGAGAAGAGCTTTCTGTGGAAATGAGAGTTAAGTCATGATGGGGAGAAAAAGAATGAGGTAGGGGAGAGAAAGAGCGAAAGAGAGATTGAGAGAAAGAGAGATCGAGAGAAAAAGAAAGCAAGAAAGAAAGCAAGGAAGGAAGGAAGAAGAAAGAAAAAGAAGGAGGAGGAGGAAGAGGAGAGAGAACTAGGAAAAGCCTTCCACGCAGAGTGAAGAGTGATACAAGGATGTGGAGGTGAGAATGAGTTCGGTAAGTAAGAGCATCAGAAAAGTTAGGGAAGCAGTGAGGGGAGGCACTGAAATGGAGAGTGAATGAGTACTAGGACCAAAATGAGGTTGAATAGAAATAGGAGCCAAATTGTATTTTGTTACGAAGGGCACTGTAAAAACGTCAATTTTATTCTATGTGCGATGGGGCCACTGGCAGGAAGCAAGTAAATGAAAGATTTGCTATGTTTTTTGAACCTTTAGAGTTCTCACAATGTATTGACAATCAAATGCTTTTGGAACCTCACCATACTTTATATCAAGCAATGACACATGGCTAATACATACTAAATAGTTCTAATTATTCTAAGATTATTCCTCTAGTTCTAGTCATACTCCTTTTTGTGCTGAAGTCTGAATTGGACTCTCTTTACAGTGATTATGAAGAAATGGACACTTTCACAAAGCCCCCCATATTTTGAGATCAAAGTGAAAAAGAAGAAAACACTGGTTTGAGAGCTATTTCTTAGAAGTAGGGAGAGGGCGGGCAGTGGTCTGTTGGTAAATGTTTAGCAACTGGATCTCCAATTAAAAGGAAAGTCCTGATTTGTAGCACTTGCCGATTTCTGGGGTGTAAATACTCCCATGGTCAATTTCAAAGTCCCAACCAGATATTATTAAATGCAGAGTTGGGAGATGCACACAATTGGCTCTTGTGAGCTGATGTGAGCTGCTGCATGGTGGCTCTAACACACATTCTGAGTGGGGACCAGTAAGATGGAGAATCATTCTTAGAATTTGACTTGAATAAAAACATTGGTAGTTAAACCAATGTATGTAATTATGTATAATGATATATTGAAATAACGCATTTTATTTATTTAACACATTTACTTTCCTTAACTTTTCTTCCTGTTGCCCAGGTAGAGTTCGGTATAAACTGTAGATTTAAATTGTGTACTTCTGGAGGATTCTCTTGTTTCCTAGCAGAGGCTCCTTTATCTGCCTTCCTTGCACTATTCCATTATTTATGTTTGTAAAATTCCTTAGAATTCATTATAATTAACATATCTTTATATTTGTATTTTTACTTAAGTCAGTCAAAACACATTTCTTTAAGTTACCCCTTATGTCACTTAGAGACTTCATTCAACGTTTCAGATTTTAGAAATCTGGAAGTCCAGGATCGGTTCCAGTGTCCCGACTGCAGAGGAGGAAAGTGAATTCCAGGGAGTTTTAGGTCTGATCCCTCCTCCATTGCCAACTTCCTGCTCTTCCACTTCTCTTTCCAATACTCCATTTTTGCTTTCCTTCCATAGAAACAATTTTTAATTTAACACCCATTCAGGTATCGTGTATTCTCTCCTCAACTCCTGCAACTTGGTTTCCATTCCTTCCGACATGCAGAAACACCAATGACCACAGTGAATTGCAAGAAACCTTTGAACCATCTAGTCCACTTCTTTACCCTTTTATTTAACAATCATTCAATATATGTTTATTGCCCATCGTTATGAACTACACACTGTTTCCTGGGGAGCAACCCATTTCATATTTGTACAGTAATAGTTTTTAGAAATGTTGTGGAGTCAAATTCTGCCTTTTTCTAATTTCTCAGTTCCTCCCTCCAGAGCTGGGTATAAGTGGTGTCTATTTCATCAAACTTCCTTTCAAATATTTGAAGAACCATGTTGTTTCTATTTTCTTCCTTTGCTGGGTAAATCATCCTTGGTTCTCTTAATTATTTCTCATATGGCATGTTTTAAAATCCTTATTAGTTCTGCTGTCTCTGAATATGACCTAATTCCGTCAATGACCCAATTAATGGTTGGTGCCCAGGGTTAATTATATCACTCTACACGTTCTCCGACCAGAACGGAGAAGGCAAGTCCTTCCCCATGTACTATATACCGTCTTTAATACGGCCTAAGAATTAAGTGCCTGTTTAGAACACGAACAGACTATTCCTAATGGGATAGCCACAATCTGATTTGTTTTTTTTAATTGAAGAAACAGTATTTAGTTGGCTGCGAGCTGACTTTGAGTCAACAGCGTGA